TTTATTTAGACTCTTTCCTTTCTCTTCTCCCAACAAAGCATGGTGCATGTCAAGGGACACCTCTTAGTATCAACATGTAGAAACTGCATTCTTCTGATCGCATAACAAAATTCGCTGGAAAATGTTCAAGCATGATATCAGCAGCACTCTACAGAATAATTTCCCTATAGTCAAGCATACATTTTCACCAAATGGGAATTATTTGGCAGAACTTGAAATTTTTAAAGTGAATTGAAAACAAATAATAGTATGCCAACCCATCTGCCATCCATCCAAGCAAAAGCTAGAGCATAAGAAGCAATAATCCAACTCCTTGCATCAAGACAATAATATAAATTATGAGCAAGAAGTACAATCCTGACCTTTTCAAAAATATTAATTTTCTTCAAGGCAAGAATTCTGTGCATAGGAATATGGAGAGCTCTCTGAACAACACTGCTAGCGCCACTGCCTATTGCTCCAAAAATCCTCATTTCACGAGAGGCACATCGATATGTCTTTTCGCTATGGTCTGTTTCATCTTCAGGTGAAGTAGTGCATTTTTGCAATCCCAGCTCATTTATGTTGTACACTCCATATGATCTGCTTAGTAAGTTTACGGTTCCACCATCTGAAAGCTTCGCAAACCCAGAAGAATTTTAGCAAAAAGTCCTTGAACTAGAATACTCAATTCTCTTTATATGGGAAACTCACCACATAAGAATCACTAGGGTCCAAGGTCGAACCGGATGAGAAGCCTTTTTCAGAATCAAACAATGGTGTAAGCTTCTTTTTTAGCTCCTCCAACCCAGCCATGATAATTTATTATGATACCAATAACAGAATCATCAAGTCATTGATGCCTTCCCACTATCTCTATCCATCCATGCACTGAAAAACTCATTGTTATTCTTTATAGAAGCCAAACAATATTTTAACAAATTAAAGACTGAAACAAAATTCAAGACTCATATTCCTCAAGTTCATCCTCTGATCTCTCCGATGTCAAACTTCATGCTCGCATATACAAATTACTATTTGATAATACATTGTTACAAAAAAAACTATAACTATCACCACAGCATCCAGACAAGATTGTATGCAAATATGAAAAGAACACAGAGAGATTGAAAGAAACCTAATTTTATTCCATTACCATCAAAGCAAATTCATAATGACTGTCACTCTCACACTCCCCTAATTGAAGTTCAGATCAAGATTGGCCAGAAAGACAAACTTTTTTTAAGGTTCAAGCAAGTAACTTGCTGCAAGTTGATTGATTCTAGTATACCTCGCTCAAAGTAAAAATATGTCTGAGCAACACAAATCGCAAACTTCAAATACATATCCTGAAATATCATTAAACAGCCTCGTGCAAGAATAATCACGATCCATCTCAACAGTTCATGATCAATACAATTCTACTTTGGAAAATAATCAAAACTCAGAAAAGAATGCATTTAAAAAATGCGAAAAAAAAAAAAGCAATCAAGACCCAGATCAGAATAAATAGAACACTGCTTCCATTTCACAGGTAATTTATGATTATCACAAGGAAGAAATAAAAATCAAGAGTTCAATTAAACTTACTTGCAGTGCACATATTGAATCCATCTTATTACAACTCAATGAATGAATGTGATTTTGTTAGTTGCTTCAGAGCTGAAGATTGAAGACACCGACGCATCTGCTCGTCGCCAACCAAAGTTGCACTCGTTAGATGTCAAACACGCCCATGAAACATTTGGGTCTCTTGTTTGGATTCACATAAAATTGGGCTTTGAAACTTGCTGTGCTTAATAACCCACCACTTTTATTAACATTAAATCAACGGGCTTTCACTGTAGCGCCCCCCCCCCCCCCCCAAGCTGCAAATTCTTTTGATTTATCCTTAAAAAATTCTTTTGTTTTTATCATAGGTTTTTCTCTTCAGATTTCATGTTTACTCGTGCCCTAGGTGTCGAAATTATTTCATGGGCTTAGCGACATGATTATTTTATTTGTTTTATGTTTTAATCTCCAGATCTTGAAAAAAAAGAAAGAAACTCACCAAAAGTTTTCAAAGGAAATAGAAAGTTTTCAAGTAACCAGATTTTACCCACTAATAACTTTAATTTTTAGTATTTATGAATTTTTTTTAAGACAAAGACTTCATAAAGGTGGTTTTCATATTTAATGATTTCAAAAGAATAAATTTGAGCTCTAATGGTTTTTTTATTTGATGTAATCTTGAGTTTTTAGATTGATTAAAATGAATTTTGTTATTAAAAATCAGGTTATAAAGGTTTATAGGATTTTATTTTTCATATTTTTAAGTTGAAAAAGCGTTGAAATATAAGTTTTTGTAGTTTAAAAATTTTAAATCCAATTTTTTAATAGGAAAGATATCTTTAGTGACAAGAAAAGATGATAGACAAATTATATAAAAAAAGATGATAGACAAATTATATGTCGTTCATTAATTTTTTTTTATCAAAAAAATAAATAAGATATATGACATATCATCCACTTCATCTAAATAAAACATAAAAATTAGATATATGAGCTTGAACTTTGTGGCCTAAATATATCTCAGTTTCGTGCGGGTTAGGCATGCATGTCCACCCATGCATGCTTGTCCTTTTATTTTTATTTATTTTTATGTTTTTTAATTAAATTATTTTTAAATAAACTTATTTAAATGATATTTAGATGTTAACAATTCTTTCTAAGTAGTTATTTATGAGCTATTATGGATAAGGTATATAAATGCATATGAAATATCTATTTTTAAAATTTTATTGTAATTTTGTATATAATATTTTTCAATATTATTGTTATCTTATTTTTTCATACATTCATGTTAAAATTATCATTTCATTACTTTATTATTTTATTTTATTAAAATCTCCTTGGATTATTATAAGCTTTTGTTTAAAAAATAATGCTTCTAATTAAAAATAATATTTGGTTAAAAAAAAACATATTAATAAGAAAGAGAGGTTTTTATTATAAAAATATCCTTTTAGTTTTATTTCAGACCGTTATTTTTTTTTATCTTGATTTTACTTGTTTATAGTTTTCATGCAATAAAAAATAGTTAAAAGAAGATATTTTTTTAAAGAAAAATACATTAAGGATTTATACTAACAATTAATTTTTTTCTACAAAACTTAAATTGTACATTTATAATAAAAATCTATTTTTATTGTTAAATAATTAAATAAAAAATATTATGCATCACAAAGTTAGATTATATACATTAATTGTTTAGCTTCGTCTTTTAGTCTTTAACCACTATTTTTTATAATTCATTATTTCATATAATTTTTATTTTATTTCATTAAATACACTATCAACTTTTCAATTTCTAATTAAAATTTTTTAAATGCAAGAAATTGCATTCATAATATCAAAACATTCTTCTCTTGAGTTAAAAAAATACTTGAAATTCCACACGCAGTATAATATAAATAATTGGTTCGTCCAACCTAAGCGTGTATAGTATTTAGTTTAAACTAAAAAACCAAATCTAACCATTTTAATTCAGATCATTCAGTTGGCTTTTTCAATGTGTTCATTTAATTGGGTTTGATAATTCAATTTTAATTTGGTATGATTTGAAAATGATGCTAATAAAATCTAGTCTTTATTTGTTTAAAAAATTAAAAATTGAAAAAAATAGTTTAAATTTTGAAAAATTTCCCCTAAAAATAATTGATAATTAAAAAGTTGAACCAAAATATATTGATTTATGAAACTTGGTTTTTATGATTTTGATTCAATAATAAACCTAAAACTAAACCAAACAAATCATTTACATGCACATGTCTTTTGAAACTTCCCACAAAATATTATAATAACTTTCGGTTAACATCAACCAATATTAATGAACTCTTTGTACTTATAAGAGGTCATATGTTCAAAACCTCGCATCTGACAATATAAGCATAAAAAAGAATCCTTTATGAGGTTGAAGTATTTCCTCATCTTTGTAATTATGGCGAGGATGGCAATGACAACCATCCATCAAGCATCTTATGTCCTTCATGGTGTATAAAATATCCATATATGTAGATTTTGTAGTTTAGACTTTATTTTTTGATTTTCTTGATTCATTGCTAGAAATGTAGTTTATTTTTTAAACTTATTTTTTATTTTTATAAAATTGATTTGAAAACAAAAAAAAAAAGAGATAAAATTAGATACCTAGTAGATATCTTCTAGAAGAAGAAAGTCCTTCACCCAACCTAATTTGACTGAGTAGAAGGTGAAGGAGTGTGATGAATTTGAATATTTTAAATTTGAGGTTGACTTAGCAAAATCCAACCTTAATCCATTTGTCTAACCATTAGTTATGGCTTATAAAGTTCTATCTACAAATATAAAACTTTAGATTAGCATGTGTGTGTGTTGATTTAGCTTATAATCAATTTAATTGACTTGGATGAACCTATTTTCTCAATTCAATCATATTTGATACAAACTTCATAGATATAAAGATTTCAAAACTCATAGTTAAATCAACTATTCCCAATAAAGTTAAATTTAAGCTTGTGATTGAGTTTAACACAATGATAACATATACCGAAGCACCAAGACTATAAAAACCAAATCCCCACCCATTGTCAATGAAGAGACACGAATAAGTAGTATGGAAGATGCTATGAAACTTGATTAATTCTTTGATAAATCAAAGTAATTTAATTAAGAACCAAAATAAAAGAATCCTCTCACAATATGACACGACTAAAAGATTGATGTCTTCTCTCAAGTGTAGGAGTGTCGAAGTAATAAATAACTCGACAAGATCGAGATCGAACTACAGGGAGGTTAATTGTATAAATTATAGATAACAACAACAACAACAATAATAATAATAATAATAATGAAGAAGAAGAAGAAGTTGATGAGAACTTTGAGATGGAAGAACAATATAAGGATTAAATAATGATAACAATAGATGTTAAGGTTAGAGGATCCACTAATGATATGTCAAACAAGTATTATTCAATAAGAAACCACACACAAAGAAGATTCCATTCAGATTATAAATTGTTAACATGATCACATTAGTTATCTTATTAAATTAATGCTAATACTTGTAAATCTCATCAAACATTCATGATTATAATTTATGTTAACAACAAATCAAGTTTCTTTCATAACTCAAGTGTCGGTTATACCATATAGAATGGGCTATGAGAGTACCAAATATTTGTTGTACCAAATATTATACAACATAAATTTAGATTAGTCATTTAACAAGTAAAGTATTAAAGAGTGAACAAGATAACAAATACAAAACATGTTAGTATCAAACATTAAAGTCCATATTAAGTTTACACTATACTTATTCTTACACCATTAGTGTAACCTTTTCACCTTGACATAATAAACTTAGCTAAACATAATAAAAGAAAGAAAAATAAATAAACAAAATAAGAACATAAATAAGATAAAAATTAACTAAGTAAAGGAAAGGAAATGAAAGGTATAAACTTGATATTAATGAAAACAAAACATAAACATTATAAAAAAAAGAGAGAAAACAAAAGCATGATCTTGATCTAGAGACCAAGATGCTTAAATCCATTACAAATGCCTCCTTTTATAGGCTAAAATTGGACACTATTGATTTGATGACTAATTGATGAATGAGTGACCAACTCTTGACTTGGTAACAATCTTTATCTTCTCTTGTCTGCCCAAAATATAATTGATAATGTCAATATTGGAGCCACTTGAAAACATAAAAGTTGTAGGAAAATGTCTCAGATTTCTCATGTACAAAATTCAGGTCATTTGGATCTCGAGAACTCCAGATATGGGCCAAACACTAAACAGTGCTCGGGCTGGAAGACAGATTCAGACTTCTTTGTTGTTGCTACAATTTGAACTTTAAAATGGTTTTTTTAAGTCTTGGGCTCCATATGAAAGTTATATGCTTATATCTCACATTTCCATTCATATAAAGTAGACCTAATCTAAGATCTATAGCTCCAGATATGATCCAATTACTGAATAGTGTTTTGGTTTGGATTGCAGCGACATCTCTTTTCTAAGTTTGACCATCTCTTTGTCCTTTGAATTTCAGTTCTTAAATTCATCAATCAATCCTTTCATTTATGTGATAGACCTACATTTAAAATAAACATTTACCATAAATTAAAGATATCTTATATTATTAGATATATTATTATAAAACATGCTTTAGTTAAGTAGTTATTGATACTTCAAGTGCAAAATGATGATATAAAACCTTGATAAAAAATACACTTTTAAGTACTAATCACAATACATATAAGATAAGTGTCAATAATTTATTATCCAACTTAAAAAAAGTCTTATAATAGTATTTATACTTGGAAAAACTAAGCCCTAGTTGATTTAATGGATTTAACATCAACCCAAATTAAAATAAACCATAAAGTATCTTAAACAAAACTCAAAACATGAAAAATAATAAAAATAATAATTCTAAAAAGTAATGTTAAGTTGTTGCCTATTATGAATAAAAGAAACAATTTTTGAATGAAATCCTTGTTAAAAAAGAACCCTTGGCTGAATAGAATATGGTATCGCTCTTGGGATCCAAAATAAACAAAGAGATAATTCTTCCTCAGCCTCTTATATTTTTACACATAATTTGAAATCCTCTCATAATTTGAAATCCATAAAACACATGGAAACATATAACCATATAATTGCCGAATGCTTCTTTTATGGATAACCCATGATGCCAAAATTAATTAAGCCAAAGAAGTAGATGAATTAGGTCTATTTTATATATAGATTAAGTTGACTATAGTTTGATCATTACTAGTTGAAGTTGTAGCCTCAAAATTCATCTTGGCCAAAAT